TTTTCAATCACATGATTTACACCAATTCTCAACAGATCCCCAGCACCCAGCACAATAAAAGCATTCTCTTACTCTATTTAGTGTCTTCTTGATACTTATTTCTTCAGCCATTAGAAAGTTTCTTCCTATTTCTGACATAAAAATTATTATTGTAGGCATAATGGATCCCACTGTGCCAGTAAATCTTTGTCTCTGGACTTCATGGAGCGACTGTTTATCATAAGTGTTTTACTTCGCTATTTTTAATCCACTGATTAATTGATTTCAAACTGATATCATTTTTCTGACTGTATTTCATTTGAATGTGAGACTAAAATACTTCTTCATTATAACTTGTGGATACTTGGAATGTACTTTGTTGTACTTGAAGTTTACCATCTTTACTATCTTGTGCTTTCCTTTTTTCAAAGTATTTATATTTTTGATTAACACATGGTCTTCAAGATAATGCATGAGTACTTTCATGTTTCTCTCCAGGACAATGAATAATGTTTAAAATGTACTCCTGAAGTTTCTGGGGCTTTCTTGCTATCTGGCTTTCTGGGTTGTAACAATTCTTTGAATAATCCTTCCCAGTTGAATAAATGTCTTAGTTACACTTTTTGGAATTCAGCTTAAGATTCTCTTTTCTCAACTAATTGAGAACATTATTTAATCAACCGAATGTCTTCCCTTATGCAATTAAGTCACACAAGTAGACGAGTATAATGTTCTATTGTTGTTCAAAGAGAGCACATTCCATTAGTCATTGAAATGTAGCAGATACATTAAATAATCCAAATGATAATACAACAAAGTGCCACAGTCCATTTCATGCAATAAAGACTATCTAACAGTTTTAGATACAAATATGATATCCTATCTTGTAAAGAATTTTTTTACATAAGTTTGACTTGTTTTGAATATGTATTATTCTAAAACAAGTGGATTGTATAATGCTCGTTTATTGTACGAATATATCGCCAACAAATCACAGACACCTACTGTAAAAAATCCCAACCCATATTCAAAACCTGACACTCAGTAACAAGATGTAAATTTATTTCTAATATATACTAGTATGAGTATTTCACTTCTTGATGGCACAATAACTGACCTCTGTGACGAATTTATTATTATACATATTTATTTTAATATCAACGATTGTTTAGATTAAGTTTATATTCAAAAACATGCATAGCTTATACTGTTAAATATGTATTGCGAAAATCCCGCCTATTCTCCAAGGTTGTAGAAGATTCTCGAGAGTAAGAATCAACAATATATGTATGTATGTAAATGCTTAAATTTGTATTGTTATGTAATCTGAATTTTCTAGAAAGCCTCCACATGCCTATAAATATAACCAACGTGATGCACCAAAATTAGTTCGCTATAGTCACTGTGCTATAAACTTTGGAAGCTATAACTGTGATTGTTATAACTTATCAATCGGAAAACTTAAGATATTTGACCAGGAGCATTTACAAAGTTCGAACATTACAAGTCAGTTAACTTCA